AATGGTCTTCAATCTTTTGCTCGATTTATTTCCTTTTTATATTTTCTATAGTATTTCAATATGTCATTAGATAGGTTTCAAAACTATTTATACGAATCAAATACGAGATAAACAGAAAAATGAATATATATATATATACATATTGTCAGGAAAGCAACTAGTGTTATTTTTCTAATGGTTAGTTTTATTCATTTATCGAAATGAATCATACTGTATCATAAAAATTTTCGGATGTATATAATTTTGAAAAATATATGATAAGATTAGAATCTTGGCTTATCCACGAAAAGGAGTGATTCAGTCAGATTTATTTATAACCAATGAGAAATCGCAGACAGCGATTCAATGCTTCGGTTTAAAAAGTACAATTTTTCGTTAAAAATCGCAAGTGCACTCAATCCTTGATAGAAATTTTTTTATGCATAACAAAACAAATAAAGCGTGACAGAATCATATTTTACGTAGGCGGGTCAGTTCTCTGTTATATATACAACTGTTTTTCGTCATTTGAGGGAGAACAGACATGCGCTTGTCATTATGATAAATACATAAAAATCGAGGCAATTATTTTTTTATATGCATATGATAATATACCTATATGTATACGATTGTAACATTTAGTCTTTTTCTTCCTTTCATATTAGATTAGAACAAAAGCAAAATAAAAATATGGACACAACTGTAATTGGAAATCGTACTGGTTCGAATTTAGATATAATTCAACGAATTGATCGATTAATTACATTTTTATTCCATTTATTTTTTCAAAAAAAATTTCTTGTCCATCGTCTTGTTGGCCTTCTTTATCTTATACAATATGCATTATGTTTTTATTGGTATTGTAAAAAGTATGTTAAATTTCTATTTAAAAAAAAAGACCTCAAAGTATATCTGTATCCCTCTTTATGTATAAATAATTTTCTAGTAGTATATAGTCACTTACATAGAATGAGTACTGACAAAGTGAAATAATTTTATAATCTTCAACAAGAGAAATATTTTTAAAGAAGCTAGAACCTTTCGTTTTGTCATAAACAAAATTTTTTTATACTTATAGTTATGAAACATTTAAAGAATCATTTTTAATTTGGAGTTTACCATTAACTGGCCTTATACAATCAATAATAGCAACATTAACATTTACATTTTTATCACGTACGAAAATTGATCCAGGTTATTATTCGGATCGTGGAACATTATCATATGCATTTATTGTAGAAAATACATTTTTTGCTGGCTTACTTCTTTTTCAATGGCTTTATTATTCGGATTTTTTTTATTACTACATTAATAATTCAATTATAATTGATAATCTTATTGTATTCTTACCATATATATTACGTCAATTATGGCCAAAAACACATTTTCGTGATTCATTAAAAAATTCCGATAAAAACAAAACAACACCAAATAGAAAATTTTATATCATCGTAACAATCATAACAAAAGTTTTTTACGTTTGGGCTAAACATTATATTGGATATTTTCTTAATTATATACGTTTTTTTGATCTTGCTAATTCACAACAAATTTCATATATTTATTTATTATTAATATTTAGTGCATTTGCTACAACAATATCTGTTTTTTTACATACATTAAAATTTAAAGGTTATATTGGTCCTCGAACATCATATATTATTTATATGGCATCATATTTAGCAACATTTTATTCTTTTATACAAATTCGAGATATATTTTTCATTCATTATGATCTGGCCATCTATGTTTTAATTGGTGTAGTTATAAATTTTCAATCACTCTATTATCAACATATATATCAAATAATATTACTTATTTTATTTAATTCACATAAATTCCATTTAATTCCAACCAATATTGATCGACGTTTGTTTCTATATTGATAGAAATACAAAATAAAACATAACATTGATTTTTTCTTTTCTTTTCTGTTTTTTTTTGGTAATAAATTTGATGATTCAAACGTCACGCTTGATGTCTTTCAGATGCTTTTTCATATAGTTTTATCATTTATTTCGTCGTTACTATGAAAGCTATATACTATATATGTATCTTCTTGATTGGATTCGAGCGATCAGTAGATTCTTCGTCTGAATTTTTTAATCTTACTTTAACAACACCAAGAATTAATCAAACTATAGTATGATATAAATATTTTTATAATATATACGTAATAGAAAATCTAATATTTAGAATAAACAATCCGTTTTTATATCCACAAAATTGCCAAAGAATGAAGAATTATATATTGGTTAAACATTCTTTATATAAAAATAAATAATTTTGAATTTCTTTTATAATATTAGTTGATTTTCATCCAATATACGATCGTGAAAACATTCAATACATTACAACTTATTTTTGTTTAGAACCATATTCAATCAAGGAAAATGTTAATATTTGGTTTGTTTTACATTATTGAAAAAAAATAAATCTAATAGTTTTTATATTTAGGTTTGGAGATCAACCGTGTGTTTCTATGGATCAATCAATGCTAATTTATGAATGGTATCATAATATACCTTCTATTCAATGGCCTAAAGGTTATTTTTTGCGTATATTTATTATCCATATTTTATATAAAAACTGAATTATTTTTTAGATGCTGGTTTTCGTGTAGGAGCAAATACTTTACATCGATATATTGTTATTAACATTAAATACTTTTCATCTATAAGTAATAATATCTATGGTGAACATGTCACTATGACTCGTAAAAAGTATTGAAAAACGTGTTTTTGGTTTAAAATGTTTATTTCAATTTGTTTTTTCTTTCCACTAATTAGACCAAAATATCAGATAGGAACGTATGAAATATCGACAAATGCATTTCAATTTCAAAGTAATTGAAAGTAAAACTAAATTATAATTAATACATATATATTTTAAGGAAATTTTGCTGATTTTTCTTGTCAATATCATTCATCATCGATGGAAGTATTTTCTGCTCTATTGTTTTCAAATCCTGAAGGTATATGATTTATATTATTCTAAATACAGAGTGACGTTAAAAGTCATTATGCATAAAAAAGAAATTGTATATCTCTATTATTATTCAAGCAAAACAATCTGATTTTTTTTATTAATGATTGGGGGTAGATGTAAGAATGGATATGCGTATAATAAAAATAATACCCACGCACATAACTACCTTTGAAAAAAGAACAGCCTGTTTGCTTGAATCATAATGAAAATATCCAATATTTTTTTTGGACAAAATGACGTTTGCACTAAGCTGTATAAATAATTAAATAAATAAAATAGGTCATAGTATTTCATTATATCGAGTGCGTAATAATCAGACACAGACGATTATCAAAGGTATTTTTTTTGAAAATATTCCTTTCAATATAATTGTATAATTTAATTAGGGAATCTTCATTGGCCACAAACTTTTTATCAACTACAAAATTCAATCGATATTAAAGCTCGGGATTATTTAATTGGAACTTGCATTTATGAAGATAAATATAAATTACCTATTGAGTGTGTATTGTATTCAAATTATATACTGTATCATTAAATATATTTATTAGATTTAGATCGCGTGATCAAATTTGTGAAGTTACATTGCTGTTTTATATGAAACAAGATGATAAAATACCATTAGAAACCTGTGAAAATAATCGTTTTCGTGACATTGCTGACGAGTATAGAAGAAAATAAATTCTATTTAAAAATAGAACTAAACTTGATTCTTTTCTTTTCAGATATCTTCCAGTTGATATCGATATACCAAAAACATTGTTTGATATTAATTCAATGTATCCAAATAAAACACCCGATGAATGGGCAATTATGAATAGAAATATATCATCATTAACTTTTGAATCAAACGTCGATCATGCAAATATTTCTGAATCAAATACTGATCATGCAAATATATTATATTTGACATATACAAACATTAATAATTATCACGAAATCGTTGTTCTTATACATTCTCATAAACTATTATTTATATTATTGATATGGATATTATTATTAATCGTTGGACTTTTTATATTATTAATTGTTATTCTTCGTACACGCAAATATAAAATATATATTTCAACAAATAAAAAACGAACAACAGCAATTGCAATTGGTGGTGAAACAGGTTCATTAAGTGGATGGCTTACAAAACGACGATTTCAACAATATGGAGATGATGGTAATACTATTGAAAATGAACCATTAACAACAAAACATCGATGGACTTCAGACAGTGAAGATAGTGATTTATCTGAAACAGAAGTTCATAATTCAACTGATTTTCGAAATGTTGTACTTAGAAATTAAATCATTTTTCGAAAAAAGATGAATTTTAAAGAATAAAGATTTTTAAAATATTCTAATTTGCAATACATACGACTAATTATTTAAGATAGATCTGTCTAACGTAAATAATAATATAGTATGCTCTACTGTTTCTTCAATAACTTTAGAACACAACTAGCTAGAGATCTGCGATTTCCATCTATCATCAGAAGGCAGTTGAAACAACGCTTGAATGGAGCGATGATGCAGAGAAGTTTGTGTCGTATATTCCGCTTCTTCTATTTTTCTGTTTCAATATTAGATGAAATCTATAAATCTCATAAGCCAGCAACCAACACTTAGATTGGAAAACACCCACACCTCGTATAATGAATAACACTCCGAAATAGTGCCACTAGTATTTCTTGAAATGTTAATAAATAACAAGCACTTCAAAAATTCTGATGATGCCGATTCGAAGTGAGTCAAATAAAAATGTATCTCATTCTTTATCTTTTAAGAGATGAATTGAGAATAGAATTTATAAGAAACTTTATGATAATAACTCTTTATTGATCTTATTTAAATTTAGACTTTATGTACATCAATGTATTTTTTTTAATTTCAAAACTATTATGGTTCACCAGCGCGTATTAAACGGCGACCTCTACTCTTTTAAGTTGCCAGGTGATTCTTTTTGAATCACATCAGTGTATGGTGCGTCATATTTATAAACTCTTCATTTCGAGAAAACATTAAATTGATCAATATATATAACAATGACTTACAGAGATATTAGCCGTATGTAAACTAATCCTCTCTCATTATAATATGCTTTATTTCCTATTCAATTAAGATCTTTGCGAGATGGCTCGAGTTCTTTCTTATCCACGTTTAATCTCAATGGAAAATTTTCGTCAACCAAACTTTCGTCTTGTTGCTGAACTAATGTCATGGCTTGTTAAACAGTATAGAACATAATCTTCTTTTTTATGTTTCGTATTTTATTTTATTTTGAATTTAGATATGATCCATTAAGTGATGTTCCAACTGATATTGAAAGTGAACAAGATCGAGTCATATTTATTCGAACAGTTGCTCAAATCATTGTAGAAAATTTCTTGTTTACATATTTTACTTATCAATTTCTTTTGTATTTATTTAAGGCTACAAAAGCACATTTAAAATTAAATACAAAAAAACTTTATCAAGCTGATGGTTATGCAGTTAAAGAAATTCTTAAAGTTATAACACCACTTTATAAAGCATTGAGAGATAGTGAAAGTAAAGAATTAGATGATGAAGATGATATTGATAATCGATATCGTTATACAATGAATGACGATGTATGTATATTTATTTTGTATAGAATTAAATCATATATGAAATTTTCTATTTTTAGATTGGTATACTTAAAAGTGCTCGTTTACTCTGTTCGACTATCACACAAAAAGGTGCTAATTTACATGAATTATTAGGAAAAGAACTTGATGCACGAGTATGCAATTTAATTATGTTAATATTTTATATTATTTTATTCGTAGGAAGCACGTCAAGACGTAATGAGTCGAACTATGGAATTATCAGATGTTCGAGAAGGTATAAAAGAAGCTGAAAGTGCAGCTAGAGTATGTTAAATACTTTGAAAATTTTCTTTGAGAAATATTTGTCCCTTATTTTTCTTTAAGCGTGAATTATTAAACCATGAAAAATTAATCGGTAATGTTCAAATAGATGAAGTAGCACTTGATGAAAAAATAGCTAAACGTTTGGAAGAAAAAGATCGTCATCAACGACGACTTAATATGTTAAAGAGTGTTAGGTACATATATAAAAAA